GATACGCAACTGATCTTTGAAGTGGCACCTGCCAAGTTGGTGGCGCATTAATCAGAGTAATTTGCCTATTTAAAAAAATTTAACACTAAAAAAAAGAAACGTAAATTTGCCGAATTTGCATTTGTGTTCCGGTTTAAATGATTACTCTAATCCATTTAGACCGGGATAAAATCGCCACCCAAAAAAGTTTCGAAAATCACGTGATAAGCATATCGAGCACTAAAAATTCATGTAACTTGAACAAAAAATACAAATAAAAAAAAATTTATAGACTAACGAAATAATAACGATAAGCATTAAATTAATCATTTTATTTATTTCGAACAAGCTTAATAAACGTAATATTTATTACAGCCAGAAAGTATTATGATTACGATTTTTCCAAGTATTTGGAATGTTTCGTTGCCTTTTAAAATGATTATAATCCTCCTCCAATTTACGCAATGGCTCAAAGTTTGTTACCATTCAGGTTCATTATGTTTTCTTCAATAATTTTTTTTGTTGCGTCTAACAAGTTAAAAATTTCTTGCTTACGGGTTTGGTACAAGATTGCATCTTGGTTGCTAATATTTATTTCCTGATTATTACTTGAAACCACATCAACGTCAACTTGGGGGTCATTATTATAGGCAGTTGCTTCACGGGTAACAATGTCTACAGATTTTTCTTGATTATCAATGTCAACTTGTGGGTCATCATTATGGACAGTTGCTTCATTGGTATAATAATTATAATTTAAATTTTCAAATGCGAAATGAAGATTTTCTGGCAAATCAGCAAAGGCATTCTCTTCCTTGATTTTCAATAAAGGATAGAATTCTTGACGGATTACCTTAATAAATATTAGCCAGGTAAATGTTTAAATTTGAGTAAAAAAAAAATAGAGATATATATATTACCTTTTTAAAAAAGCCTGGTTCTACAGGGCCGTATAATTGAATTAAATGTTTGCATATATGAAAACGGTTTAAAAGAAACCCAGTACATGAGTATATCCAGCGTGATAAGTTAGTAATACGGTTAGGGTTTGGATTTATTATATGAGTAGCCAATTTTTTCCATTCTAATCGAAATTCTTCATGCCATTTTAGCATGCACCTATTATTGCGTAATAACTGTAAATGACTAATTTGAGATGGAATAACTTTTGTTACAATAATGTAAATAATTAAATCTAATCTTGCACGATTAAAACTTAAAAAAAAATCGTGTTTTAAAATACACCAATGACTTTCTATAGTCATTGTACTTCGTAAAATATTAAGCTCTGAGCTTGATGCACGAGCCCATAATTTCCATTTGTCAGGATGGTACCATTCAGACCATAAATAGATCCAAACATGTTTGAGATCATTTTGATAACAATAGTTATATTGTTCTTTAATGCTTTCAATCCAAATTTGGTTCATGCTTAAAAAGTTTGGCGGGCGTTCTATAGGTATGATTGGATGCCATGAAAAATGTATTCGAACAAGCTGAAGAATTTTCTCACGAAAATTTTTCTTACAAAAAACTTTGTCTTTTTCATTTAACATTTGATCCTGATTCGTATGATCTGCTATTGTTTGATTTTGCCTAAGTGGTTGCCATGTAGGATCAATAAATGGGCAAAGCGAATGCGCTTCATAAGAATTATAAACATTATGCACAATTCCAGTGCTTGTAAATTTTTTTTTTGATTGCACGAAGTACGTGCCAGTAGCATAACTGAACTTCTGCATCAGTCCAAATTTTACTTGCAGCAGTAAGTTGCCCACGATCTTTATCCATTAAAATAGTTTTAACGTCTTGAATTCCATTTATTTTTAAATATTGGAACCATTTAGTAATTGCGTAGGTTTTACCATATGAGTATCTTGGATCAAGAAAAAAATATGACAAGGGAAATCCTGAATTATCAATAATTCCCAGTACCGCGTATAATTCAAATTTCAAATGGTTAGTCCCATAAGTTTCATCAATAACGATTGTTCTTGTAACTTTATTTGGTAATAAAAATAATAAAAGAGTTAAAAATGCTAGCATGTGTTGATCTTGAAAGAGAAGCTTAAAACTTGAATTATTTTCTAAGTATAATCGAGCTGATTCTCAGATAATTTGTATTTTGTCATAGCAAATTTCTTCGACCAATAATAAATTTGATGTCTAGTGATATTTAAAAATCC